AGAGGAGGGGGGTGGGAGGCGGCTAGAGAGTGGGTGAGGTTTTAAGAAAGGTAATCTTTACTATACGTCTATGTTACACAAATTTTACCTCTAACCACCCACTACCCATCCCCGTCCATTTTTTACTTATGAAATTTCCAAGTGACATTTACAATTGCAATCTTTATTCATATCGCAGGGAGAAATTTGTCTTGGAGATGAGTGAAGATTGTCATTGTCATTGTCATTGGGAAATTCTAATAGTAAAAATAAAAAGTATATTATCGTGCAATACCGTCGGTTAATATTATACTAGCTGGGCTCCCTTTCGATGAAATGAATGATCGGTGCATGTTGTTAATCAACTGAATATCATTGGTCTACTAGATCTACATTACGCTCTACTGGAAAGGACCAATAAATCTTGATAGAACAGTGACACTCGTTTTTATAAGTTGCCAAGTGTATAAAATCTAATAAATGTATAGACTGATTCTCTATTTCGCTCTCGTGGTTGTACACTCCAGAATTTCAAAGGTGTGAACGGAATCCTCACTTGTTTACAATGGCGTCTTAGAAGACGGATTTTTCCAAGATTCTGAGTGGACGAAACAAAGCATTTAGGAAAAATCGGGGAAAGCAGTTTGCGTGGATATTTTAAAGTTAGGTCCTAGCCACATAGACGCTGTAGGTACCTGCAAAGTTTCAAAGGTGTGGGTTAGGTAATAAGGAAGGAGTTTGTGCACAAAGCCTCCCAAGTCCACTTTAATATATATAGTATATAGTTATATAGACTCTAGATAAAAGGAAAATTATTCAACTAAATAATAGCAAATGTTATTCAACATTATTCTATACAAATCTGAGGGGGTCGACTAAGATTGACAAGCCATGGGTTAAGCAAAGGCGCCCGGGTTTCAACAAGAAAACCAATCGATCGATGAAGAATAAGTCAATCAAAAAGTTATAAAGGAACCTTTGTGATGTGGAATTACATGTCGCCTGTTCTCTTCTTCCCCCCCCCCCCTCTCCCTCCAGGAAAGATCATGTGGGACATGAGACGGTTGCTACAAAACATTGGCCAGAGAACTGGGAGTTTTTGACCACTGACTACGAAGAAGTAAGTCACATTTTCGTTCTTCTCTCTCTCTCTCTCTCTCTCTCTCTCTCTCTCTCTCTCTCTCTCTCTCTATCC